TATACAGAACTTATAAAACTTAACACCCCCAAACCAAATAATCCAATTAAAAATGGATGAATAGACATGAATAGACATTTCTCCAAAGAAGACAACAGACACATGAAAAGATGCTCAACATCATTGATCGTCAGGGAAATGCAAATCAAAACCACAAAGAGATATCACCTCCCATCTGTCAGAATTGCTAAAAACAACAGAAGAAATTACAGGTGTTGGCGAGAATGTGGAGAAAGGGGAACCCTCTTACACTGTTAGTGGGAATGCAAACTGGTGCAGCCACTGTAAAACAGCACGGAGCTTCCTCAAAAAGTTAAAAATAGAACTACCCTAAATCCAGTAATCACACTGCTGGGTATTTACCCCAAAAATACAAAAACACTAATTCAAAGGGATACATGTAGCCCAATGTTTATTACAGTATTATTCACCTTTTTAAAAAAAGATTTATTTATTGATTTCAGAGAGAGAGAGAGCATGGGGGAAGAGCAGAGCGAGAGGAAGAGAGAAGAATCTCAGGGAGACTCCTCGCTGACTGTGGAGCCAGCTGTGGGGCTTGATCCCATGACCCTGAGATCATGACTTGAGCCAAAACCAAGAGTTGGACGCTTAACTGACTGTGCCACCCAGGCGCCCTGTGGTGAATGATTTTTTTAAATGTATTGTTGGATTCAATTTGCTAGTATTTTATTGAGAATTTTTGCATCCATGTTCATCAGGAATATTGGCCTGAACTTCTCTCTTTTAGTGGAATCTTTGTCTGGTTTTGGTATCAGGATAATGCTGGCCTCATAAAATGAACGTGGAAGTTTTCCTTCTTTATCTAGTTTTTGGAATAGTTTGAGAAGTATAGGTACTAAGTCTTTTTTAAATGTTTGGTAGAATTTACCTGTGAAATCATCGGGCCCTGGACTTTTGTTTGCTGGGAGTTTTTTGATTATTGACTCAATTTCTTTGCTGGTTATCAGGCTGTTCAAGTTTTCTATTTCTTCCTGTTTCCATTTTGGTAGGTTTTATGTTTCTATGAATTTATTCTAGGTTTCTCCATTTCTTTGAGGTTGTTCACTTTGTTGGCAGATAATTTTTTACAATACTCTCTTATAATCCTTTGTATTTCTGTTGTGTTGGTTGTTATTTCTCCCCTCCCTTTTGTGATTATATTTTGGGGTCTTTTTTCTGTTTGATAATTTTATTACTTTCTTTCAAAGAAATCACACTTGCAACCCAGGAATAAATCCCACTTGATTATGGTGAGTGGTATGGTTCCATTGATATATTCTATTGTTTTTTATATCTATATCATTTCTTTCTGCTCTAGTATTTATTATTTCCTTCCCTCTGCTGGCTTTAGGCTTCATTTGTTGTTATTTTTCTAATTTCTTTAGGTGTAAGGTTAGGTTGTTTATTTGAGATTTTTCTTGCTTCTTGAGGTAGCCCTGTATTGCTAGATGCTTCCTTCTTAGGACCATTTTTGCTGCATCCCAAAGGTTTTGGACTGTTGTGTTTTCATTTTCATTTGTTTCCTTTTAGTTTTTATTTGTTCTTTGATTTCCTGGTGACTAATTCATTCTTTAGTAGGATATCCTTTAACCTCCATGTATTTGTGGTCTTTCCAAAATTTTGCTTGTGGTTGACTTCTAGTTTCATAGTGTTGTGGTCAGAAAAGATGCATGGTATAACTTCAATCTTTTTATATTTGTTGAGTCCTGTTTTGTGACTTAATATGTAATCTATTCTGGAGAATGTACCATGTGCACTTGAAAAGAATGTGTATTCTGCTATTTTAGGATGGAATGCTCTGAATATATGTGTTAAGTCCATCTGGTCCAGTGTGTCATTCAAAGCCATTATTTCCTTGTTGATCTTCTGCTTAGATGATCTGTCCATTGATGTATGTGGGGTGATAAAGTCCCCTACTATTATTGTAAAATTATCAATTATTTCCTTTATATTTGTTATTGATTTTTTCTGTATTTGGGTGTTCTGATGTTTAGTGCATAAATATTTATATTTATATATCCACATTTTTGAATCCATTTGGATGATAAATGTTTCTCCATTTCCTCACTTTCAAAATGCAGGTGTCTTTAGGTCTAAAATGAGTCTCTTGTAGGCAGTATATAGATGGGTCTTATTTTTTTAACCATTCTAACATCTTATATATTTTTATTGGAAGGTTTAGTCCATTTACACTCAAAATAATAATAATAATTTTTAAAAAAGATTTATGTATCTATTTTTCTTTAGAGAGAGAGAGGGAATAGGGAGGGAGGGGCAAAGGGAGAGGGAGAGAGAGAATCTCCAGCAGGCTCCAAACTGAGGGCAGAGCCTAATGTGGAGCTCTATCTTAAGACCCTGAGATCATGACCCAAGCTGAAACCAAGAGTTGAATGCTTAACCAACTGAGGCACCCAGGCGCCCCTCAAAATAGTTATTGATAGATATCTATTTAGTTCCATTTTATTACTTGTTTTGTCATTGTTTCTGGAGATTTTCCCTGATCCTTTCTTGTCTTTGTCACTTTTGGTCTTTCCTTCCCACTCAAAGTGTCCCTTCTAACATTTCTTCCAGGTTTGGTTTAGTAGTCATGAACTCCTTTAGTTTTTGTTTGTCTGGGAAACTCTTTATCTCCGCTTCCATTCTGAATGATAGCTTTGCTGGATAGAGTATTGGCTGCAGATTTTTCCTATTCAGCATTTTGAATATATCATGCCACTTTCTTCTGGCTTGCCAAATTTCTGTGGAGAAATCTGCAGGAGCCTTATGGGTCGTCCTTTGTAATCTAGGGACTTCTTTTGTCTTGCTATTTTTAATTTTTTTCTTTATCACTATATTTTGCAAATTTAATTACAATATGTCTTAGTGTTGACCTGCTTTTGTTGATTTTGATGGGCATTCTCTGTGCCTCTTGGATCTGGATGTCTGTGTCCTTCCCCAGATTAGGGAAGTTTTCTATTTCTTAAAATAAATTTTCTGCCTCCTTTTCTCTCTCTTTTGTGATTCCAATAATACGAATGTTATTACATTTGATGGAGTCACTGAGTTCCCTAAGTCTATTCTCATGTTGTGCAGTTCCTTCTCTTGTTCAGCTGCATTACTTTCTATTATTTTGTCTTCTATGTCACTAATTCATCCCTTTGCTTCCTCTAGCCTGCCATTCATTGTATCAAGTCTGTTTCCAATTTCATTTACTGCACTCTTCATCTCTGATTGATTCTTTATTAACTCTTTTATCTCTGTGGTTAGGGTCTCATTGATGTCTTCTATTCTTTTCTCAAGCCCAGTGAGTATCCTTGCAATTGTTGCTTTAAATTCTCCATCAGGCATGTTACTTATATCTATTTCACTTAGATATGGCTGCGGCCTTATCTTGTTCTTTCATTTGGGATAAATTCCTCCATCTTTGCATTTGTCTAAGTCTCTGCCTTCTTCTCTTGTTAGAAAAGCCAATTATGTCTCCTGCTCCTGAAAGGAATGGCCTTATGAAGAAGAGATCATGTAGTGCCCAGGGCCTGGTGTTTCAGGGAGTATCTCTGTTGTGTGCTGTGTGTACTTTACAGTTGTGTTTTGGCTGCTCTGTCCTTCAAGCCGGTCATCTACAGAGGCTCTTCTTGCCCACATGGGCAGTGTTTGGTCCCCTGCCTGAACATGGGAGTTTTTACCAGGTATTCTCTGGTCTGCTTGTAAAATGAGACCTGACACTACCTCTACCAGAACTGAGGCCCTGTAGAACTCTCTGGTCTGGAGACGTGGTGTGGACAGGCATTTATGTTGGTTTTCTGGGGGAAAGACGCATCATACTGGGACTGAGGCAAGCTTGACTGAGAAGGACAGTCCTGTCACAGTGCAGGGGGTGGGACTTGCTGTAAGCAAGTTAGGCAGGCAGTGTTGGTGGTGCACTATTTCCCACAGGTGGGTCTGTATTTATGCCGAGTTGTGGGGAGAGAAGTGGCTCAGGCCAGCTCCTTTGTTCCCAGAGAGGCATTTTGTGAATGCTGCCTCTCAGGGATGTGCTCTGAGAAAAACAAATAATCTCTCCGGTGCTTTATGTGGTCTTCAGATCACTGTTTCCATGCTGTCTCCCCACCACTCCCCAGGTTGTTTGCCTGCCTTCTCTCCAGGAGCAATGCAGTGCTCTCTAGGTTCTAGTCCAGCCAAGCCTGCTGACCTTTAAAACTCCAGGCTTTAAGACCTGCTGGTTGCAAGAACTTATGATTTGCAGCCCCTCTCATTTTCCAAGACAATAACTTGGGGAGAGATTCCCCTTGTGCATTCTCCTGTGTGCTTCTCTCTCAAGTGCCCATCTTTATGACCATGGCTCCCTCCCCTCTGCAGCACTCCCAAACCACATCTCTGCACTTCCTACCTTCCTTGATGTGGCCTCTTCTCTCCCATTAGTTGTGGAGTTTGTGATGCCAGACTTCAGGTCTATTTCTGGGGTATTTAGGATGATTAGTTATCTCGTTGTATTCCTGGGAGAAGGGGAGCCTACGGTTCTCCTACTCCACAGCCATCTCCTACCAGACCTCTCATAAAAATTTTAGAATCTGTTGCTATCCATAAAATAACTTCCTGAGATTTTGATTGGAATTGCACTGAATCTACAGATCATGTTGGGAAGAATTGACATCTTGACAATATTGAGTCTCTCTATTCTTGAACATGGAATATCTCTCTGTTTATTTAGTTCTTTGATTTCATTCATCAGAATTTTGTAGTTTTCTTCATATAGGCTTTCTATATATTTTGTTAAGTTTATACCTAAGTATTTCATTTTGGGGGGTGCTAATGTAAATGGTTTGTGCTTTTAATTTAAATGCCACTTGCTCATTATCAGTATATACAAAGCAATTGAATTTTGTGTATCAATTTTGTATCCTTAGTTCCAAAAGGGTTTTTAGTCAGTTCTACATAGATGATCAAGTCATCTATGAACAAAGACAGCTTTATGTCTTTCTTTCCCAATCTGTGTAACTTTTCTTTCCTTATTGCATTAGCAAGGACCTCCAGTTCAAGGAGCTGGATATCTACCAGACCACCCTGAACACCCACGAAATCAGCCTGAGATGTAAGAAGATAGATCTGGATCTGTACAAACAGAATATCGCAGGCGGTTGGTTTCGAGGTATGAAGCGGAGACCCGTGATTCTGTGGGCATGTATCTGAAGATAAATGGAAGGGGGAGGGAGCCGTGGGGATCCTACACCTCCATGAGCAATAGCCCCCCGCACTGGGGACAGGGCACAGACTTGCAGACCAGTAGTGGCAGGGAAAGGACTCTAGGGCAGCCCCCCATACTGAAACCTGGAATGGCTGGGGGGAGGGGGGCTGGCGGTTTTAAAAGCACAAAGAGCAGAGACGTGCCCCCATGCCCTGACCTGGAGGCGAGGACTGGGAGTACTGCTGAAGGGTGTACAACCCAGGACACTGCAGGTTATAGCAGCACAGACAGAAATGGAGATAGTGCGGCCTAGAAAGCTCACTGAAGAACAGACTGTGATCTCTCTGCTCTGAGGCAGAGGGTTGGAAACAATCTCTTCTGCTCTGACTCTCAGAAGAGATGTGGAAAGCTGCCAGGGAAAGCCACCAGAGAACAAAAGCCCCCCAGAAAAACAGTTTTCACTGAACCCACCCCCCCACACACAGGGGGCAGGGCAACTCTGCCCAAACAGGGTTGCCTTAGTAACAGCAAGGCAGGCATCTCCCCCAGAAGACAGGCTAGGAGAACAAGAGGCCAACAACCTTAATGTCCCTATAATATAGGTACATCTTGCTTGGGTTGTGGTCAATAATTTGGACTCTGTACATTCCCTCAACCACCCCTCAACAGAATGACTAGGAGGAGGAACCCCCCAAATAGGAAAGACTCAGAGACTGTGACTTCTACCACAGATTTACAAATGGATACAGATATAACCAAGATGTCAGAAATGGAATTCAGGGTAGCAGTTGCAAAGGCAATAGCTAGAATGGAGAAATTGATTAATGGCAACATAGAGTCTCTAAGGGCAGAAATGAAAGCTGAACTGGCAGAACTTAAAAATGCTATCAATGAGATCCAATCTAATCTAGATAATCTAACAGCTAGGGTAAGCGAGGCAGAAGAACAAATTAGTGATATAGAAGACCAATTGATAGAAAAGAAGGATAAAGAGGAGGCCAGGGAGAAACAACTCAAAATCCATGAAAACAGAATCGGAGAAGTAAGTGACACCATGAAACGTTCCAATGTCAGAATTATTGGGATCCCTGAGGCAGTGGAGAGAGAGAGAGGACTAGAAGATATACTTGAGCAAATGGTAGCTGAGCACTTCCCTAAGCTGGGGAATGAAACAAACATTCATGTCCTACGGGCAGAGAGGAACCCTCCCAAGATCAAGGAAAACAGGCCAATGCACAAATCTTAGAACCAAGGAAACCATCTTAAGGGCATTTAGGGGGAAGAGATTCCTTACCTACAGAGGGAGGAACATCGGAATAACGTGAGACCTGGCAAGCCAGAAAGGGCTGGCAAGGCATATTCAGGGTACTAAATGAGAAGAACATGCAGCCAAGAATATTTTATCCAACAAGGCTGTCATTTAGAATGGATGGAGAGATGCAGAGCTTCCAAGACTGGCAGAAACTGAAAGAATATGTGACCACTAAGCTGGCCCTGCAAGAAATATTAAGGGGGGTTCTATAAAAGGAGAAAGACCCCAAGAGTGATATAAAACAGAAATTTACAGAGACAATCTATAGAAACAAGGTCTTCACAGGCAACATGATGACAATAAATTCATATCTTTCAATAATCACTCTCAACATGAACAGCCTAAATGCTCCCATAAAATGGCACAGGGTTGCAGACTGGATAAAAAGACAGGACCCATCCATATGCTGTCTACAAGAGACTCATTTTGAACCTAAAGATACATCCAGAGTGAAAGTGAAGGGATGGAGAGCCATCTTCCATGCCAATGGATCTCAAAAGAAAGCTGGGGTAGCAATTCTTCTATCAGGCAAATTAGATTTTAAGCTAAAGACTCTAGTTAGAGACACAGAAGGACACTATATCATTCTTAAAGAGTCTATCCAACAAGAAAATCTAACAGTTGTAAATATCTATGCCCCCAACATGGGAGCAGCCATCTACATAAGCCAACTGTTAACCAAAATGACGAGTCATACTAATAATAATATGTTAATTGTAGGAGACCTCAATACTCCACTCTCAGCAATAGACAGATCATCTAAGCAGAAAATCAACAAAGAAACAAGAGCTTTGAATGACACACTGGACCAGATGGACCTCACAGATATATACAGAACATTCCACCCTAAAACAACAGAATACTTATTCTTCTTGAGCGCACGTGGAACTTTCTCCAGAATACATAATGGGTCACAAATCATGTCTCAACTGATACCAAAAGATTGAAATTATTCCCTTCATATTCTCAGACCATAATGCTTTAAAACTGGAACTCAATCACAAGAAAAAATTTGGGAGACATTCAAACATTTGGAAGCTACAGACCACTCTGCTCAAGAATGTTTGGGTCAACCAGGAAATCAAAGAAGAACTTAAACAGTTCATGGCAACCAATGAGAATGAAAACACATCCGTCCAAAACCTATAGGATACTGCAAAGGTGGTCCTAAGGGGGGAAATTCATAGCCATCCAAGCCTCACTCGAAAAAATAGAAAAATCCTGAATTCATCAACTAACTTTACACGTTAAAGAACTAGAGACAAAGCAACAAACGATGCCTAAGCCACACATTAGAAGAGAAATAATTAAGATTAGAGCAGAGATCACTGAATTAGATACCAGAAACACAGTAGATCAGATCAATGAAACTAAAAGCTGGTTCTTTGAAAGAATTAATAAGATCGATAAACCACTGGGCAAACTTATCCAAAAGAAAAGAGAAAGGACCCAAATTAATAAAATTATGAATGAAAGGGGAGAGATCCTGACTAACACCAAGGAAATAGAAACAATTATTAGAAATTATTATTGGCAACTATATGCCAATAAGTTAAGCAACTTGGAAGAAATGGATGCCTTCCTGGAAACCTATAAACTGCCAAGACTGAAACAGGGAGAAATTGACAACCTGAATAGGCCAATAACCAGTAACGAGATTGAAGCAGTGATCAAAAACCTCCCAAAAAAACAAGAGTCCAGTGCCTGATGGATTTCCTGGGGAATTCTACCATTCAAAGAAGAAATAATACCTATTGTCCTGAAGGTCTTTCAAAAAATAGATACAGAAGGAAAGTTTCCAGACTCATTCTATGAGGCCATCAAAAAGGAGAATTTCAGACTGATATCCCTGATGAATATGAATTCCAAAATTCTCAACAAAATCCTAACTAATAGGATCCAACAATACATTAAAAGGATCATCCACCACGACCGAGTGGGATTTATCCCTGGGATGCAAGTGTGGTTCAACATTCTCAAATCAATCAATGTGATAGAACACATTAATAAGAGGAGGGAGAAGAACCATATGGTCCTCTCAATTGATGCAGAAAAAGCATTTGACAAAATATAGCATCCTTTCCTGATTAAAACTCTTCAGAGTATAGGGATAGAGGGAACATTCCTCAAGCTCATACAATCCATCTACGAAAAAGCCACAGAGAATACCATTCTCAATGGGGAAAAGCTGAGAGCCTTTCCCTTAAGATCAGGAACACGTCAAGGATGCCCACTCTCGCCACTATTGTTCAATATAGTACTAGAAGTCCTAGCAACAGCAATCAGACAACAAAAAGAAATAAAAGGTATTCAAATTGGCAAAGAAGAAGTCAAACTCTCTCTTTTCGCAGACGACATGATACTTTATGTGGAAAACCCAAAAGACTCCATCCCCAAATTACTAGAACTCATCCAGCAATTCAGCAATGTGGCAGGATACAAAATCAATGCACAGAAATCAGTTGCTTTCTTATACACTAACAATGCAACTGTAGAAAGAGAAATTAGAGCAACGATTCCATTTACAATAGCACCAAAAACCATAAGATACCTCAGAATAAACCTAACCAAAGAGATAAAGGATCTATACTCTAGGAACTACAGAACACTCATGAAAGAAATTGAAGAAAACACAAAAAGATGGAAAAATATTCCATGCTCATGGATCGGAAGAATAAACATTGTTAAAATGTCCATGCTACCCAGAGTAATCTATACCTTTAACGCCATCCCAATCAAAATTCCAATGACATTTTTCAAAGTGCTGGAACAAACAATGCTAAAATTTGTATGGCATCAGAAGACCCCGAATCGCCAAGGAAATGTTGAAAAAGAAAAACAAAGCTGGGGGCATCTCATTGTCTTATTTCAAGCTATATTACAAAGCAGTGATCACCAAGACAACATGGTACTGGCACAAAAACAGACATATAGACCATTGGAACAGAATAGAGAACCCAGATACAGACCCTCAACTCTATGGTCAAATAATCTTTGACAAAGCAGGAAAAAATATGCGATGGAAAAAATACAGTCTCTTCAATAAATGGTGCTGGGAAAATTGGACAGCTATATACAGAAGAATGAAACTCAACCCTTCTCTAACACCATACACAAAGAGAAATTCAAAATGGATGAAAGACCTCAATGTGAGACAGGAGTCCACCAAAATCCTAGAGGAGAACATAGGCAGTAACCTGTTTGATATCGGCCACAGCAACTTCTTTCAAGATACATCTCCAAAGGCTAGTGAAACAAAAGCAAAAGTGAACTTTTGGGACTTGATCAAGATAAAAAGCTTCTGCACAGCAAGGGAAACAGTCAACAAAACAAAGAGGCAACCCAGAGAATGGGAAAAGATATTTGCAAATGACACTACAGACAAAGGGCTGATATCCAAGATCTATAAAGAACTTCTCAAACTCAACACCCAAAAAACAAATAATGAAGTCAAAAAATGGGCAGAAGACATGAACAGACACTTCTCCAAAGAAGACATACAAATGGCTAACAGACATGAAAAAAATGTTCCTCATCATTAGCCATCAGGGAAATTCAAATCAAAACCACATTGAGATACTACCTTACACCAGTTAGAATGGCAAAAATGGACAAGGCAAGAAAGAACAAATGTTGGAGAGGTTGTGGAGAAAGGGGAACCCTCTTACACTGTTGTTGGGAATGCAAGTTGGTACAGCCACTTTGGAAAACAGTGTGGAGGTTCCTCAAAAAATTAAAAATAGAGCTACCCTATGACCCAGCAATTGCACTCCTGGGTATTTACCCCAAAGACACAGATGTAGTGAAAAGAAGGGCCATATGCTCCCCAACGTTCATAGCAGCAATGTCTGCCATAGCCAAATTGTGGAAAGAGCCGAGATGCCCTTCAACAGATGAATGGATAAAGAAGATGTGGTCCATATATACAATGGAATATTACTCAGCCATCAGAAAGGATGAATACCCAACTTTTACATCAACATGGATGGGAGTGGAGGAGATTATGCTAAGTGAAATAAATCAAGCAGAGAAATTCAATTATCATATGGTTTCACTTATTTATGGAACATAAGGAATAGCATGGAGGACATTGGAGAAGGAAGGAAAAAATGAAGGGGGGGAAATGGGAGGGAGAGACGAACCATGAGAGACTCTGGACTCAGAGAAACAAACTGAGGGTTTTAGAGGGGAGGGGCGTGGGGGATGGGTGATCCCAGTGATGGGTATTAAGGAGGGCACATACTACATGGAGCACTGGGTGTTATATGAAAACAATGAATCATGAATCACTACATCAAAAACCAATGATGTATTGTATGGTGACTAACATAACATAATAAAATAAAATTAAATAAAATAAAATAAAATAAAATATGAGGTTGTGATTGCAAAAAAAAAGATGTGGTACATTTATGCAATGGTATATTATTCAGCTGTAAAAAAGAATGAGATCTTGACATTTGCAATGACATGATGGAACTAGAGAGTATAATGCTAAGTGAAATAAGTCAGAGAAAGTCAAATAGCATATGATTTCACTCACATATGGAATTTCAGAAACAAAACAAATGAGAAAAGAAAAGAGAAGGAGGGAGAGAGAGAGAACCAAGAAACAGACTCTTTTTTTAATTATGTCCAGTTAGCCACAGTATAGTACATAATTAGTTTTTGATGTAGTGTTCAACGATTCATTAGTTAAGTATAACATCCAGTGTTCATCACAGCACATGCTGTCCTCAATACCTGTCACCCTGTTACCCCCTCCTCCCAACCTCCTTCCCTCTGAATCCCTCAAATTGTTTCCCGGGGTCCATAGTCTCTCATGGTTCATCTCCCTCTCTGATTTCTCCACATTTGGATTTCCCTCCCTTCCCCTATGGTCCTCTGTGCTATTGCTTATGTTCCACATATGAGTGAAATCATATGATAATTGTCTTTCTCTGCTTGACTTACTTCACTTAACATAATCTCCTCCAGTTCTATCCATGTCGATGCAAATGGTGGGTATTCATCCTTTCTGATGGCTGAGTAATATTCCATTGTATATATGGACCACGTCTTCTTTATCCATTCATCTGTTGAAGGGCATCTAGGCTCCTTCCAACTTAGGCTATTGTGGACATTGCTGCTATGAATATTGGGGTGCATGTGCCCCTTTTTGTCACTACTTGAATTTAAATAAAATCTTGAATGAAAAAAAATAAAGTGGGTTTCTTGCAGACAAAGTATAGTTGGGTCGTGTTTTTGATCCACTTTGGCAATCTTTGTTATTATTTATTTATTTATTTATTTATTTATTTATTTATTTATTTATTTCTGTGTTTGTTTGTTTGGCAATCTCTTTTAGTTGATGCATTTAGATCATTGACATGGACCTGTGATTTTGATGAAGCCCTGGCAGGTCTCAATAGCAAATAGTCCTTGGATATGTTTTAATTGTAGATAAGGCAACTAATGCATTTAGTACATAGCAAATGCTCAATAAACATGAGGCATCATTGTTGGGATTATGATTTTTACTTGTCAGCTTCAAAATTTACCCCTTGGGTGTGTTCTTCGTGGTGCCTTTAGTGGGACTAAAGAAATTGCTGTTTATTACCCTGTCTTGTTCTATTCATATATTGTCACTTCTAACACTCTGTTTCAAATTACATCAAAGTAAGCATTCATTTAGCTGACAACCTATCACAGGGCATCTTTCCATGTAAAATGAACCAATTTATAGTCATTGCTGACAGCTGGTTTTTGAAGGAAAGGCCATTTTCCTTAGTTGATTGTGAAGAACAGTGATTAATTCAGCTCATCAGACTGCAGCAGCAAATGCTAAAAAGGACCTCATTGTGTGAAGCGCCGCTCCCCCCCCCCAAGTCTCTTAAAACCTACATTTCCAAATTTGGCAGAATTTCCTGAGCCTAGGCTGGACTTCAGAAGTCACTTTGTCCACCCTCCCACCTCCTACACTACTTTTAAAGATTTCTAAATAAAAATAGGCCCTGTTTTTCCTTGGCAATGGGCCATCAGGAGAGGCGAATTTGGCAGCATCCATATTTTAGGATTCCGTAGACTTAAGAGAGGGGGCCCTGACTCAAAAAGTGACTTGCCAGTGCCTGAAAGGGGACAAAGTCTGATGCTACAGTTACAAGAAATGTTTAAGGAGAAATGCCAAGCGGTGAGATTGGTTTTTCCCTCCTCTTTCCATCTAGCGGGAGAGGAGATACACAGTAAGATGGAGTGGAGACAGAAATGTGTCACTCTGACACCCAAAGGACTTTTGCTAAAGGAGGCATCACCTTAGAAGAAACACATTCTGTGCTTCTCCTGATGGTCTCCTGTGAGGAGAATTTTGAAGATCATATTCAAAGCGACCTCCAGGACCTCGCTGTGGAGCCAGGAATCTTGAGGAGAACTGTAGGGGCAGAAAAGCCCAGGAGAATGTAGGGAAAGGAAAGAGAGTGAAAGAGCAGCAAGAGAAGGGACCTCCAAACACAAATCCTTGTGGAATGGATGCCAACTAGATGGGATAAGACACAGAGTGAACTGCATTCTGGGCTCTGTGATCAGCTGATCCTGAGGGCATTTTCTCTCTCCAAGCAGCCAGACCTGCTCACTGGACCAGACATCAGCATTGTGGACCCCCCTGCTTCCCTCTGCAGATTCAGCCTGGACTGAAGCATCTAAACCAATCTGCAGAGCAGGGACCACAAGCGAGGGACAGGTGGGTTGTCGGAGGGTGACCTCGAGTGTGCCCTGCAGTTCTTTCCGCAGCTGGTCACGCAAGTCCCGGGTCACGGAAGGCCGGCTCCTGCTCGCTGTGGACCCAGGCATTGGGCCTCAGTGTTGAGAAAATGCTTGCATTCAAGCCTGTGTTGTCCGTCAGGGAGGGACAGTGAAAATATAGACACCTGACTCCCTCCACGGTGGCCCAGAGAAGAATTTAGGAAGTGAACTTGCTTCCCATCATTCATTTGCTTCTCATACTGTTCACTGAAGGAGGGAAGAGTTCCACTGTCTTGGGAGGCATATTAAATTCATGTGGGTGGAACGTGGATGTTCCAAACAGCTGCCCTTTTTGCAAACCTGGTCCAAAAGTCGACTTTAAGTTTTGGGCCGCCTGTGGTAAGAGGGCGAGATTTAAGGCAGATCTGTTCTCCTTTATGAAGCAGCGGCGTCCCCGTGTTCCATGGGGCACATCTGCACATCCATGAGCGTTGCAGAGGGTCAGATTTCCGGAACAGTTGGCAAGAATGGTGCTCTGTATTTCCCAGAGAACACACATTGCTCTGAAAGGAAGAAATAGTTGGTTTTCCTCCAACTGCCTAGCCAGGAAGAAGCAAGAAGCCGTATCGCAAATGCAGCCGCAGTCTGCTCTGCCGTCTCCTAGGCAGAGAGAGTAGGACCCTTCCTCAGAACGGGGGAGAAACTCACAGGGCTACCCTGGCCCCGGTCATTCTGCAGCATCATTGCCTCGAGGAACCACAGGCTCCCCACAGAAGACGGCATCACGGGGGCAGGGACATGCTCTGCCCTGAGGATTTGTGCCCAGGAGTGCAGATCTAGCTGAGCAGGGTCAAAGGGGACCGCATTCTGCAACACGGAGAACAAAACATCTTCCTATTACTGCTGAATTCAACGTGCTGGGAATGAGCAGGGTCACACCTTTTTCTTGGTTTGGCAAGACATTTTAAAAAATGCTAATGTGGGGCCCCTGGGTGGCTCAGTCGTTAAGCGTCTGCCTTTGGCTCCGGTCATGATCCCAGCATTGGGGGATTGAGCCCCCGGGCTCCCTGCTCAGTGGGGAGTCTGCTTCTCGCTCCCCCTGTTCTTGTGAGCTCTCTCTCTCCCTCTCCAATAAATTTTAAAAATTTTTTAAAAATCAAATAAATAAAAATTTAAAAAATTTCAGAAAATGCTAATGTGAATGGAAGTCATTTTCCAAAACCCATGGGTGAGGCAGATGTCAGTAACTCATTGTCGTGTTGTTATTTACAGGACTGTTTGTTGCCTCTAGGGTCCCGGTGCTTGCTAAGTAGCTCAAAGTCGTTCAGGAACCCGGCCCAGTACTACACAAAAAGCACTATCCTGCAGTTTACCCAGTGAGTGTGTGAGAGTTGAGCCTTGAATCATTCGCTTGATAGATTTTTTTTTTCTTTCCTTTGGAAACAGGAAGAAGACTTTCTCCCTAAGCTTCAGGCCATAGGGCTCGTGCAGGAAGTCCCTTTCCTTTCCTTACGCAGGACACAAAGGTGCATACATGTTCCCAGAACGCTGCAAACAGAGTTCTGCTTTTAGCAGCTGCTGGCTGGGTCCCCGGATCACCTTCCTCCTCCCCGGGCTGCACCCAATGTAAACCATCACCTCTCGGGGTTTGTTCTTTTTTACACAGGCTGCTTTGTAAGTGGGAGACACAATCCACAAGACTTTTTAATATTTGTACTTATTTATTTCAGACAGAGAGAGAGAGTGAGTGAGAGAGAGAGAGAGAACGAGTGGGGAGAAGCAGAAGGAGAAGCAGACTCCCCGCTGAGCGAGGAGCCCCACGCGAGACTCGATCCCAGGACCCTGAGATCATGACCTGAGCGGAAGGCAGACGCGTAACCGACTGAGCCACCCGGGCGCCCCTCCACCACACTTCATACTAAATCTCCACAGGAACCCAGTGGGTCAGTGTGCGTTCGCACGCACACGTGTACATAACACAAACCGACCCAGAAAGATAGCGACCTAGCTGATTCATAAAGATTCTTAGCAGCCGTGCGGTCAGCATCGTAAGGCTTCAGTCCCTTACCCCGACGGTCCGAAATGGCTTCCTTATGCCCGGAGCTAGCGCAGGGCCGGGCATGGAGAGCTTCCAGGGTAAGTCACAGCACAGCGGTGCCCTGCTCCTTTTGGAGACCGGGTGGGCTCCCTAAAATGTCTTCCTAAGCCCTGGCCCTAGCCAGGACCCCTGTGATTGCTCAGCAGGCCAGCCAGTGAAAGGCTCCCGGCCGCAGCGGAGGGTGGGTTCCTCCACCGGTGACCCTTCCTGCACCTTCAGCGTCTCTGCTTGCGGAGCTCCGAGGCCAGGAGAGAAGCCACCAGGAGTTGTTTTTGGATGTGGCCAGCCTAGTTTCCCACTGAGTGTCTGCTAGAAGAGCATCTTAGAAGTGTCTTAAGAACTCTGCTCTCATAGCTGCGGTTCACTGGAGTGTGGACACTGTTTTAAAGTAAGAAAGTCGCGGTGGGGCTCTGTCTGGGGGCCCCCTCCAGCCATCTGACTCCCAGCAGCCCCACCAGCCGTAGGATTCAAATCACCTCCTCCTCTATCTTCCCCATTCTCTTCCTCCCTTTATGAGTCTTTTTTCTCTTAGGAGTACTCTCTAAACACCTCAGCCAAGTTTTCAGGGTGTTTTCGATTTTCTATTTTTTTAAAAATTAAGCTTTCTTAATTAAGCGTAACGTGCATACAGAAAACCACACATGCCCTGAGGGTTCAGTTCAAAGAATGTTCACAAAGCAAGCAGACGAGTGTAGCAAGCACTCAGATGAGGAAACAGAATATGAGCAGCATCCCAGAAACCGCCTCTGTGTCCCTTCCAGTCACTCCACTCCCACAAGAGTAACCCTCAAATGACCTCTGTTACTGTACATTGATTTTGCTTAGTTTTCAGATTGACTGAAATGTACTCATGCAACAGAATCTCTGTGGGACTCACGTATGTCGAGTGCGGAATTGCTGAAGAGGACTCAAATTTGTGGTTTTCTCTGAAAGAACCCTCAAAGAATACCCAGCGCAAAGGACTTTTACAACCAGCGTTGAGTGTGGATGAGAGATCTGAGGGCCTCTGACCTTGTGAGCTGAGCGGAGCTCGAGGTGGAAGGTGAAGAGCTACCCAGTCCCTGCTCTGCTCTGAGATGTGCTCCCAGGACAGTCCCAACTTCTGCTCTCTCTTAATCCCTGGTTCGGTGATTGGAATGATGACAGATTAAATATCAGTTGTTTGCTTAGGTGAGTTTACATATCAAGCTATGTGTACCTCATTGAAAGGCTGCTCACCTGAGATTTGGATTCAGAGTAAAGTGGCTCGATGGAGAATCTAATTCCAAGAGATGTAGGGTCAGAAGCAATCAACCAGTGAATTAACCAACAGGCATTTCTAAATGCCTCTTGTACTTTTCATTCACACATCTCTGTCCACAGGCTCTGAACTAATTCCTTCATTTTTTAAATATGTGAATGGGATTACTGTATCATGGAGATAAGGTGCAAGCCATTATTTTATATAGCATTGTTTTTAAAAAAGATTTTATTTATTTATCAAAGAGAGAGTGCACAAGCAGGGGGAGCAGCAGGCAGAGGGAGGAGCAGGCTCTCTGATGAGCAAGGAGCCCCATGTGGGGCTCCATCCCAGGACCCTGGGATCATGACCTGAGCCAAAGGCAGATGCTTAACCAACTGAACCATCCAGGCATCCCTATAGCATTGTTTTATACACAACTAAGAAATAGAAAATGCCAGAGATGGATTGTCTAACAGGAGACCTCCCGTAAAACTGGGACATCAAAGTCATTCTCTATGTAAGAGTAAAGAGAAATAACTCTGCCACGCAGAAAAGTCACTGAGGAAACAAGCCTGCCTCCATCTGGGGACATGAGGGAGAGAGAAAAATAAAACTTCCGTGAGGGTTTGGACCACAAAACAGTATTCAGATCAGTTGGTGGATTGAATTCACACCAGCAAGCCTAGGATTCATTTTAAAGTAACCTCTGCTTGGTAGTGCCCCGGGTTCTGACAGAAGCAAGTGCAGGTATTCTCCGGAAGACATCAGACTTCCACTGCGGTAACTGCAGTTATAAGATGCCATCCATTGTTAAGATGCTTCAGATTTCAGAGATCTTAGAATGTGAATCCCTAACATATGGTAATAGCATGTACTTCTTGGATTTGTGGTAGAGATCCAGGTGGAAACAGATACACTGTCTAGTACATAAAAAGTTCAGTAAATTGTAGTCACCACAGAGTAGAGTGTTCAGTCTCTCTGGATTTAGGAATAGCTAACCTGGAGAAAACCTGTACCTCTGGCCAGAGAGCAAAGTAAATGTAGCAGCGGAGAAGCCTGGAATGGTGAGGGAAGGTTTCATGGACAAGAGAGGTCTTGAGACTTGTTGTGAAAGATTGAACAAGTCAAGGGGAGAGAATATTCCAGGCTGTAGAAACAGTTGAGCAAAGGTTTGGAGGTGGATACGAATGAGGCATGCGAAGGAGAAGGAAGGAGATAGGCTGCAAGAGATGAGCCCAGTGGGTCCAGCTGTGAGAAAGAATGCACTAGGGCATCTTGAGCTGTGATGTGATTCAGTAAGTGTGCTTTAGTGAGCTTCATTAGGACAGTGTGCGGGATGACTGGACTGGACAAGCCGTCTAGGAGACAACTGCACTGATCCACCCAAGTGCACATAGAGAGCCCCTCGGCCAACAGGGTGGCTATAGGATGGAGAGGAGAAAGAGTGCCTAAGAATGACAGGAGAAAGGTGAGCAGGATTTCAGTCCATTGGTTTTATAAATGAAAGAGATGAGTACAAGGGAGGAGCTAACAATGAAGAGCCTTCCCCTTCTTCCAGCATGGACCTGACCTCAAGGAGCACGAGGCTACTCGATGACAAGCCCCCTGGGGAGTGTCTCGGGTCTGCTTTTCCTGTGTCTTGGACTACCTGAGTCCTTTTCTGCTCATGGTCCTACTCTCTACTTCCCCAGCCCCCCAGTGAATTAATTTATAACCCTCTTCATTTTCTCCAACTCCCCAAAGTCAGCTTGAACCTCACTCACCCAGATCACACCTTGGTTGAGTTTTTGACAAAAATGGCACAGGAGCCCCCAACAGAGGACTGGTTCCCTTTCTCTTTCCTTTCCCTTTCAGCCTCTCCACCGCTTCTCTCCTTTCTGGGATGGTTTGTACCAATGGGAATTGGCAGGGGACCGCCCCCCGACAAAAACAACTGAAAGCACAGGTCTCCCACTGGTGTACCAGCACAGTCACCACCCCCACAAAGAACAGAGAGTGTTTTGAATGCTTCTAGAACCTTCCAAACTCATCCTCATTACCCATACAAATAATCCACCACGATACAAACAATCCAATGGAAAGTAATAGGAAACTGAACAGAAGGAAGCTGACAGGGGCGTCTGGGTGGCTCAGTCATTAAGCGTCTGCATGACCTTCGGCTCAGGTCATGGTCCCAGGGTCCGGTGATCAAGTCCCGCATCGGACTCCCTGCTCAGTGGGAAGCCTGCTTCTCCCTCTCCCACTCCCCCTGCTTGTGTTCCCTCTCTTGCTGTGTCTCTCTCTGTCAAATAAATAAATAAAATCTTAAAAAATAATAATAATAATAAAAAGAAGGAAGCTGACAGGTCAATATATCAAAAAAAAAAAGACACAACCTCATCATAATTGAAAAAATAAATGTCTGTTATTCCCAAGTGTTGGCGAAAATAAGGCAGATGGAACTTGTAAAAATGGGAGTGCACATTATGCAAAATTTTGGGGGGGGATCTGTCACTTTCTACTGAAGATGAAGATGGATATGTGGTAGGATCCAGTAATTCATCTATATGCAAGGAGGCACAGGAAAGAATCTGTGCAAAATGTTTCCAAGAGCAACAAAGTGGCAACAAGCTAACCTCCCTCAGCAGGGGAATGAATCAGCTAGACTGTAGTCAATACAGCAGTGGAAAGGAGTGAATTAGGTCTGGGCCAGCTTCACCAGTATAACATTGAAAGGGAAAATAAAGAGCGAAAAGATAAACGATAGGTTATCCTTTATGTACATGCAAAAACGCTCAAAACGGCAGTAGGTGTTTATGGATACAAGCAATATGCTGCACAAAGTACAAAGTCAGACCTTGGACCAAGGCCCGCTGCCAGCCGCACAATGTGGCCACAGCATGTGGGTGTCGGGGGGGCGCCGATATGATCCCAGGGTGGGAGCTCTTGCTGTATCTGTCATGATTTACCTATTTAAAGAGAGAGATATCTGCAATTACACGTAAAATGATCACGTATTTGTTTTTTTAGTGATCAGTATATAGATGTCTGTTATGTTATCTTCTGTGTGTTTGAAAGGTTTCATAATTTTCGAAGAAAATGAAACAATGGAGAATTGCAAAGAAATATATCAAAGTGTTCATAGGAATAAATTACAATGTTCACAGTTGCTTGTGTCAACAGGAGAGGGTTGTGATTCTTTTCTCCCCTTGATGTTCCAAGTTTTGTGACTATAGCATATTTACAAGAAAAAAAAACCACAGATGATTATTTTAATTTCTTTAAAAAGTGATTATATGGGAAAGAAAAAATGCAGAGAAATCGGTGGTAAAGTTCTTGAGGACCACCCCTTTGTGTCATTCTCTTAGCAAATAGGGGCCCCTTTGTAAAGGTGCGATTAACAAAATCCGCGGGGGAGGGCATTAGTGGGTTCTCTGAAAGGGCTCACGTCATACAAAGACCACAGTGTTGCTAATTCTGACACCAATATTTCCGCAGGGCTAAATTGATGGAATCTTTCTGAATGTGTTATTTATGGTCCCAAATGAAAAAGATCTTGTTCATCAGCCAGACTCCAGCCTGGAAAGGGACAGACAGATGTGTATTCAGGTTCTTATTGCCCAATTTAAGACCAGTATCTTCATGGTAACCCAAATTAATTCAGCACACATTTTGCTGAGTTAGATCCTGGGCCTGCAGGAGAGGGCGCATCCAATCCACAGCTGCATAGATTGGCCCAGTCTAGCTGCTGGGGTCATTACTCCATTTGAAATGTAAATAAAGTTCCTCAAACCCCTGTTTCACCAATGCTGGGAAAACCAGCATCCTTCTCATATTTGCAGGGAAGTGGGGGCGTTTTAAGATTCCTCCCAGTCACTTCTACCTTCTTGTTCTGGAACCCTCTCTCTCCAAATTATTGATTGTCTCATTGTGTTGTTCCTCCTGAACTTGCAGCGTCCCCACTGGAGGATCCATCTCCCCTCAAGGTTTGAGGAAATGGGGAATGTGTGGGCGGGTCATACAGGAGGCTAGTGACTACCCCACAAAACCTCCCCCAAATGACTATATATTGCTGATAATCAAAATCCTGGTTATTACAAGTCCTTCTGCTCTCTTTTCCCTCTTGAAACTTCTCCCTGGTTCTTCTTCAAAGCAGAACCTTGTGCACTTCTTTGTGTTTTTACTCCTCTCTGTCTACCTTTTAAATTTTTTTTCCTGGTCTAGGGTCTCCTGGCTTTTCACTCTTGGGCTACCCTGAAGACATTTATTAAACGGAAACTTTTGTTCATGTTGTCTCTCTGCCATCCTTCTTGGCTGGGCCCCAAGGGCTATTTTTTTTTTTTTTTCCACAACAAAACGATACCTGAAAGGGTATGTCAAAAAGGAATTCTCTATGCTAAGTGAAATTCTGCCACAGAAGTTGTCACCATCCCGTCCCACAGTGCTGCCAACTGGCCTCACCTTTTAATAATATCATTTGGGAACCAAAAAATATCCAGAACAAAATTGACCCATATTGTGCTAAGTGTGAAATAAGTGACAAAGCGGTAAGTTTTGCAGGCATTGGTGGGGCATGGGGGAGAAATATAGGCATTCTATGACCTATAAGAAATTACTTAAATTATCGAGGGTGCCTGGATGGCTCAGTCGGTTAAGCTGGCTGCCTTCAGCTCAGGTCATGATCCCGGGGTCCTGAGACTGAGCCCCTCATCAGGCTCCCTGCTCAGTGCAGAGCCTGCTTCTTGGTCTCCCCTTGCTCCTCCGCCCTGCTCATGTTCTCTCTCTCTCTGTCAAATAAATAAATAAAATCTTTTAAAAAATAAAAAAATAATAAATTATCGAAATGTTGGACACAGAGGCAAAATTTTCAATAACTACATCTCTGAAACTGGCTTTTTGTCTCCTCAGGCTGATTCCACAGGCTGGGGCAGTTTCCACTTGTCTAGAAGACACGGAGGCCCAGAGTAATCAGTTGCTTCTGGAGGCGAGCGGTGGGTGAGTCTCAACGCTGCTTCTGTCTGATTGCCAAGGACAGAGGGAGGGCTGTATTTTCTTGCCTGAAGATGGGAGTAAAAGAATATTCAAAACAGGAAAAACCCTGGCGTCCTTGTCCAGCTGAGCAGGGAGCTGATTTCTGAAGGAGGAGCTCGCACAAGAAGCACCTGTGTTGTCCATGGCCTCCTTTATAAAAAAAAAAAAAAGGTTGAAAAGCCGTAACTGGAAGACGCAGAGGCCTTCCCACAGGGCCGAGGCAGCCTGAAGTCTGTTTTGGAAGAGATCCAGCTGTGAGCAAACGTTGCCTAGCATGGTGCTTGGTCCGCAGCAATTACTCAGTCTGTTGAGAGAAACAAGGATAACCCAACTCAGGAATCTAAGGCATAAATTATGATATATTTGATTACAGCTCTGAGCTCCAGATTTCCTTGGGCTTCATCAGGGCTGAGACGACACGTGGCTCCCACGTGAACCTAGAGGCATCCCCTGGGCTGCATCAGAGAGTCCCTGTTCCCTCCTAGAGCCCTGACCTGAGCTGAGACCATTCTCAAGGAGTCAGGATGAGAGGGTGCCATGGCTTTGGCTGAGGACGAGTGAACTCCCAGGGCCTGTGGGAGGAAGGGGACATGCGCGTGATCGTTGCACCGAGGGTGGCCAGGGCTGGAGCTTCCTTGCTCTGTTTCTCTCCATGCATTTGTCTCATTATGACAATAAACTAGTTTTTCCTCAATCTCCTCTCCACTCATAGGTTCAGGACAACCCTGGGGTGGCTGTAGCCAGGGTCCGGTGGGGAACAAGGGACCACTTCTAGGAATGCGGGTCTTCTCATCTTTGAAATACTCTCTTGGAAGCAGTTAAAAGTGCCGTGATACTTGGAAGAGGTGTCTTAAGAGAGGAAATAAATGAGGGTGGGGAGGAGAAAGTACTATCAAGTCCTCATAATTTGGTCCTCCCAATAACTCCAAGACCCAGTACGGAAATGGATCCTTGTACGGCAGCCTTCCCTCCAAATGGGAGCAGTGGGGGGCTGTTGCTTTCCAGCTGGGTTGGACACCATTCCAAGCACTAATTACCCAGTATAAGAAAGTGTAGTGCTTGAGGAGAGAACATTTATTCAAGGACACAGAATATCTTTTTTTAAAAAGATTTATTTATCTATTGGTGCCGGAGAGGCAGAGTGCGAGGGAGAGAGAATCTCAAGCGGACTAGGAGCTTGATCTCACGACTCTGAGATCATGACCTGAGCCGAAACCAAGAGTCAGCCGTTTAACTGACTGAGCCACCCAGGTGCCCCAAGGACACAGAATTCTTATCTAATTTTACTTTTCAGAACTCTGCAGTGGTGCATTTCCACTGCCTGCTTTTCTACTGTGGCCACCACTTTAGCTCTTATTTACATCCTTTTCTCATAAAACAAGCTGAAGCGGATGTGGGGCTTGAAAGAATTAATCATTTGGCATCAGGCACGGCATTTTACGGCAAAGGTGCCATTCCCCATAGGTCTGCCACTGGCACAACTGTAATTGGACAAAATCCCTGCCACTGTGCACTGACTCCTTCCTGTGAGTTGTCTGCATCCATTTCATGTCTGCTGACCCCTGAAGGAGACAGGGAGAGCAGGAAAATAACCATTGATGCATACCGTGGGAATAAGATGTGTGTTCCTGCATCCCAGTTGAACTCATAATTTTCTAGTCGATCTGCAATGAAATGTAACCTAAACCAAGCCTGCTATCAGAATTAACTAGATTGAAAGGGGGAGTATGACAGGGAAGATGACCCATTGGATCAGGAGAGCTTCTTATGACCTGCTTATGATGATAAGGGTATGTGTCATCCTCGAGTGACAGAGATGCCCCTTGAGTGGTATTGTATAAAACCACTAGTTAATGCGACGCGGGTGAATATCACTGCTCACATGCATGCAGACCTGCTGTCTCTTGACTACAAACTGGTTAAAAATCTCTTCTTTCATCCTTAACAGAGTGTTGAATTGAAATTTGCTTATTTTATGGACACTCCCCACATCTACTCTAGCAGAAGCCAGTGAATCACTGACCCAGGATTGGAAACAGAGCCCAGAGAGGTTGACTAGTCTTATCGTCATCCTGGGTACAGGTTTGCACTAAATAAAATATTTGCTGAGTGGAATATATACACTAATTATCCTAGAGATAACAAAATTTAGGAAATAAATTTTATTATGGAAAATTTCCAAAAATTTTCATAGATATTGACAAGAAAAATAGTATAGTATAATAAATCCCCATGTATCCAATAGCCAACCTAACAGTTGTCAACTCATGCCCAATCTTTTTTCATCTAGACATTCCCTCTGGGTTATTTTGAAGCAAATTTCATATATCACATTATTTTGTCCATACATATTTCAGTATGGCTCTCTAAAATAGTTAAACTCTCTAAAAAATAACTATACTATCAATATCCCACCTAAAATAATTAACATCCATCATTTAATATCATCAAATGCACAATGATTTAAAAATTTTGCTGTCTCATATATATATCTTTTTTATAGTTTGTTCAAATCAGGAGCCAAAGAAGTTCAAATCATTCCAATTAGTTGATGTGCCTCTTACATCTTTTCTAATCTGTACTTGCTCCTTTTCTTTTCTTGACCCCTTTGGAATATATTTGTGGAAGAAGCCAAATTACTCATCCTGTAGGACCTGGATTTTGCTAATTGCATGCACGTGGTGTCTTTCAGCCTGTGTCCCTGTCCTCGGGCTTTCTAGTAGTTAGATCTTGAGTTCTTTTGGGGGTGTTTTTTGTTTGTTGTTGTTTTGGGGGGTCCAGAATACTTCAGATAGTGTTGTGTATCTCAACTGGGAACCACGAATGCCTGGCTATTCATGCCTAGATTGTGATTAAAGATTGCAAAATGGTGATTTTCTAATTTTTAAATCATTTTTCCCTTCATTTCGCTTGCTGGGATGCTTCCACGAGAGAAACTTTTCCTCATCAACTATTTGATTATCTTAGCTACAGTTAATACAGGAAAGACCAGATAAATGCGTCATACTTTCCTGTTACTTATCAGTTTTTAAAATACTAAGTTGGTCTCCTAGTATAGGAATAACCAGCAAATTGGTGTAGTTTTGTTGCTGAAAGGACAGATTTGAACATAGACATGTGTTTCAGTCCATTATTGCTTTTGTTCTTACTGATGCCCAAAAGGTTACAGCTTCAGCAAGTGGCAGTCTTAGAGATACAGCTTTTTTTGTTTGTTTGTTTTAAAGATTTTATTTATTTATTTGACAGAGAAAGAGAGAGAGAGCACAAGCATGGTGAGGGTCAGAGGGAGAAGCAGACTCTCCACTGAACGGGAGCCTGATGCGGGGCTCAAGCCCAAGACTCCAGGATCATGACCTGAACTGAAGGCGGATGCTGAACCGACTGACCTATCCAGGCACCCCTAAAGATACAATTTTAGTGATGTCTTCCATCCGTGCAGTTGTGTAGATGTTACTTGTATTTTGGGGATGTAGCTGTGGTTCGTTAATTCTCACTGCTATATAAAATTGTCCATTGTATGAATATACCACAATCTATTTAACCAACTAACATTCAAACGGTTTCTACTTTTTTGCTGTTATAAATAACACTGCTGTGAACATCTTTTCTCCTAAAGCACATGAACAGGAGCCTCTAGAACATAGCTTTTTCAGGTCATGGCACACGCAGAAAATGATAGTCTGTGCACACATGTGGGTAAACTGAGGTGATATGGGGTTATCTGTAGGGGCTTGGTGAAAAAAATTCATTACATTTTTTGTATATTTTCTAATTACAATGCATAATTCTCTCTTCTGAATTTTTCCTTCTTTTAGCTTTGCGCAGTGGCAGTATCGTAGCCAATGAGGTTTATCCGAGGCGTGATTATTGCTAATTGAATTTTTCCTTCTTTTTACCCTTTCCCTATCCTCACTAATAACATTTTGACTCCCAGAATTTTTTTCTTTTATATTTTGTTTTATTTTTATAATTTTTTATTTAAATTCAATTTAATTAACATACAGTGTATTATTAGTTTCAGAGGTAGAATTTAGTGATTCATCAGTTGCATATGACACCCAGTGCTCATTCCATCAAGTGCCCTCCTTAATGCCCCTCACCCAGTTATGCCATCCCCCCACCCACCTCCCCTCCAGCAATCCTCAGTTTTTCCTAGAGTTAAGAGTCTCTTATGGTTTTTCTTCCTCTCTGTTTCTGTCTTACTTTATTTTTCCTTCCCTTCCACTATGTTCATCAGTTTTGTTTATTAAATTCCACATATGAGACAAATCATATGATATTTGTCTTTCTCTGATTTATTTCACTTAGCATAATACCCTTTAGTTCCATCCACGTCATTGCAAATGGCAAGATTTCATTCTTTTTGATGGCTGAGTAATATTCCGTGTTTTATATATATATATATATATATATATATATATATATATATATATATATATATACACCACATCTTTTCTTTATCCATTCATCTCTTGATGGACATCTGGGCTCTTTCCATATTTTAGCTATTGTTCAATTCCCAGAATTTCTGATTACAGGTGGGATGTTAGTACAAAGCATTCTAAGCCACTGTTTCTTAAAATGTAGCCTGTGAGCATCAAGTAACACTCCATTACATGCTCACTGGCTCACGGGAAAGGGACCGATGTAGACCTTGTTCATGCCAGTCGTAAGCCAAGTGGCATCAGTTTCAAGGATGAACAGAACTCTACAGTGGTGCGGGTGAAGGGACAGTGGAGAGAGGACTGGGTTACTGTACAACACAGGCTTCTGTAGCAGCTTATTCAGGTGGGGAGTGGCTATTGGCTTCAGTAAAACGACGTCATTTGCCCGCCATCTTAAATTAATGTTGACAATTAACTTCCTTGGTTTTGTACGTTTGTACTGAACTTATAGATTGGCTTTAGCTTTATAGCTATGTGACTATACTAAGAACATTATAATAAAGATAACAAAGTCCACATCCATTTAGGAATCCTTTTTTTTTTTTTTTCATTTAGAAGAAGAAGTTGATCATTCCTCAAGTTTGAGAGAAAGTGACCATAGTGGTCTACCCGGCAGCCATTACCTCTCTTTCTGCTTCCTAACAGAACCTTAAGTTTGTTTAGTATTCCACCCTCCCATGCAGCCACGTATTTAGGGAGGACAGGTACCTTTCCCACCCCAAGGTCCTGATGGGTCTGAGATAATCATGGGGACCCCATGTCCCTTGCCAGTGACTGGTTTAAACACAAGTGTGGGATGACGCAAGTTTGTCCAAGAAGACCCAAGGGATAATTTGGTGGGGGGCTTTCAGGAATGATTTCTTCACTCTTAGCAAAAGACAACAGGAAGAGAAAGCCCCTTTCCTCTTCCTGTGAAGGAGTCATGACCAGAAGTGTCCCTAGAAAGTGCTGCAGCCATCCGGTGAGCACATGGGGATAGTCAGCCCCAGGAGGAAGCCAGCATGCTGAGGGGGAGGGGCAGGAAGAGGAAAATGACCCAGGTCACAGTGACCCTCTAACACTATTGTGTCATGAGCCCTGTCTCCTGACTTCTTGTTTTAAGAGATGATGTTTTCAGGGCGCCTGGGTGGCTCAGTCATTAAGCATCTGCCTTCAGCTCAGGTCATGATCTCAGGGTCCTGGGATCGAGCCCCACATCGGGCTCCCTGCTCGGCAGGAAGCCTGCTTCTCGCTCTCCCACTCCCCCTGCTTGTGTTCCCTCTCTCGCTGTCTCTCTCTGTCAAATAAATAAATAAAATCTTTAAAAAAAAAGAGAGAGATGATGTTTTCCCTGCTGCCTATCCCTTGAGAGTGGGTTTCTGTGACCCATACCTGAAAGTGTCCTAACCAGTACGGGGGGCCTGAGGGCACCCCAGGAGGATGGGCTCCTGGGCTGTGGTCAATGGCTTTGCTGGCCCTCTATCCTCACCAGGCTGGGAGCATGGGCAGGCCTATTACCAAAGCGCCCGGCATAGGCTTAGTTGCCTAAGGTGTTCAATAAATAGCGGCAGGATGAGGGAATGAGTAATGGCTAGAGGAGAAGTGACCTAACTACGGGCCACCTAAGATGCGGGCACATGAGGCCTCTGCCACGTCCTCTTCGGCAGCAGAAGAGATGCTGAGGGTCTGAATTTCCTCGCGCTGCACCGTCCAAAGAGGCCACATCGAGGCATAAGTTACTAAACACTGGAAGCCAGCTGAGCAGAGGCCCGGCGCTGAATGGCAAGTAGTTGACACAATGAAGGGCAAATTAGAACGATTAATAAGAATGCAATCAGGAACTCTGCAGGAATAATGGGGAATAATAGATCATAAATGAAGTATGGGGTTGGCTCTATGGGTGTATTTCCAGCCCAGCAGGCAGCATGCTATATTCACACTTCACATCAATAATAGTCGGAGAAAATAGATGTGATTTTACAAAACAATAGACCTAACTAAGCAGGCATATTTGGAAGGAAGGAGGAAGCCACAGCTGACTAAAATAATTTGACACACTCCATTTCCAGCTGAAGGTTTCAGAACGAGGCGAAAACGAATTTTTATCATTTTCATGTTAACTCGGTAAAATTGGCTTTTATTCCTTCAGTTGGGTGAGAACTGTAATAGAAGGTGTTACAACTCTAAAGGTGTACATTTAGGGCTTATAAGTACTGCTTAATAAGTTTCAAAAAGCAGGAAGCAGGCAATTGCTATCAGAATTTTCTTTTTAGATAAAATACATAACAAGAATGTGTGAAGGCCGTAATTACAGGCCTACAGGCTTTGCAACTATACATAATTCTAGTAGGGCACAGAGAAAATAATCAGACACAGGGTCTTGGCCTTCCCGTGGGCTATGGCACGAAGCATGCCAAGAAGAAAACTCAAGCCCTTCCTCTTCGAAATAACTAGGTTCTTAAAAAATCAGTGATGTAAGCAAGTTTGTACAAGAAACATTACAAGATGTGCAGACAAGACTTGGGCAGGAAACCTGGATGAGATGGGCCCTGGAGCCCGGTAGAGAGCATTTGTCCCCATGCCCTGTCCTCTGTGAGGAGGCAGGGTCCTCCGTGCTGGGTTAGTGCAGCAGTGGATGACCTGAGGTAGAACACCACAGAATCCAGGGCCCTGGGAACTTGATGCTCGGAAATTGTACCCCGGAAACACTGATTTTGAGAGTTGCCTGGGGGTTGGAAAAAAATTACTTAACTCTGGTTAACAGAGAGCATCATGATTAAGAATCCAGGGTCTGGAGCCGTGAGCCTGAGACCGAGCCTGGCTCTGCCAATGACCAGCTGTGTGACTTTCGACAAGTTGCTTAAACTCTCTGTGCGTTGGTATCCCCGGGCCATGAGCTCATCTAAGAGCAGAGTTTAGGAAGCAGGTTCTGGAAGATACTGCAGATTTTAGCAGGCCCGGGAGCCAGTCGGCCTCAGCCTGGCCTTGCAGCCCTGGAGACACATGTGAAGTGAAGGAGCCAGAGGGGCTTGTGTGCTGAGAAGCTGCTCTCCCCAAACCAGTCTGCACCAAAGTTGAGGTGCCTGCCATTGGTGAAAGGCACCTTCTCTCAAGCTGTTTCATTTTTTTTCTTCTTTTTTTTTCTTTTGTTTTTTCCTTTAGTTGCCTAGTAAACATTTCTACGGGAAAATTCCAACCTTGCCTTGGATGAGCTAAGAGGAAAGGCAACGTGTCCACACCCAGGCCAGCCTAGCCAGGGAGGGCAGAGGGCCCCAGAGGACGGGCTTGTCCACGTGGCCAAAGCTGCAGCTCCAGATGGCACTGAGGAGTCTGGAGAGGAGCACTGAGGGAGGGGGACCCTGGGGGTGTTGACAGCATCCATGGCCTCTCTTCTTTCTCCAGCTCCTTTGGACTCACTGCTTTTTGTGCACAGTCAGCACTTATCACGGGGATGCGTTGGCCCGACTCCTTGATACAGTGCCCCAAAGCCAAAGCCTATCCCTATTCATTTGAGCATCCCCAGTGCCTGTGGGCTCTTTAGTTTATAACAAATGTTTCTTGCATGAACGTAAATGGTGTGACCCTGAGTGGGGGAGGGGCTGCATGAGCAAAAGAACCGTCACTCCCTTCCTCCCAACTGGGAACCCCAACAAACTGAGGAGAAAGGCGTCTGGGGGGAAGACAGATGCCATAGAGTAACCTTCCTGGGGAGCGGATCGGCGCACAGCCTCTGGGAGACCTTAGCAGGGCAGATTAGAGGTATTAGCTTTTAATGACTATTATTTTGGAAAAGTTGAAACAATGTTGTCCAATATATGTTCCTAATGCGTTTGAGTCAGAAGATGGTGAAGAGGGGGTGAGTTTGGCAGAATTTCGGGCTGGGAAGAGAGGTTAGGGGCCGGCAGGGGACCACGAGCACCTGCGGGTCTCTCCACAAGATGGCGCTCACCTCTTTTCTTCATTCCCCTCCCTGAGAAACTTGGCATTTTTAAATTGCTGCAGAGCAGTGAGGATGAGGGCTTATGTTTCCCAGGTCTGCTTTCCCACACCATCTTATCACCTGTTCCATAACTTTTTTTTGACACTCACATGTTTTATTTCCCAGGGAACCTGGGACATCACCCGGGTTGCCACGTAGATACTGAAGTTGTCTTCTGAAAGCACAGTGCTGTTCCATCACACACGGAGCCTGGACCCTTAGTTAGCTTAAGCACAGGTGTTTGTAGGTGCTGACAAGGGTGACTGGTTAGAGAGACGAGCTTTATTGGATACTGTGGCCTCTGCTGGTGGGACACTCATTACTCTCCAGTGCTGCCAACATGACCTCTCACACTGACCTGGTCTCAGGAAACATGCCTGTTTTTCCTGCTCAAGAGTGTCCATTTACGAGAGAAAGATCCTTGGTCTCTGGACGTCATGGGAGGAGTTTTTAAAAATGCAGACTGAACAACCTTAGCATAACCAATGAAGAGAATCCTTTTACTACCTCTTAAACTGTTATACCCCCCCCTTTGGATATAAGGGGGTGCACGGATAGAATTGTTTCGCTATCCGAGAGAACGTGTATCATCAGGTTTCTTCCCTTCATACGGTTTTTCAAACCCCCCCAGAGAGAACCGTGTCCAGGCATTTCATAGAACAATGAGACAAATACTAAAGATGCTACTCAGACCTCGAGAGAGCTCTAGAATCTTCAGGTCAACCCCGGTTTTCACTGGTTCTGAGAAAATGTGGACCATCCTTGCTTACCTCATGCTGCAGGGCAGGCGTGGTGGTGCTGGGGGTGGATGTCATACTGGACTGAGCAATCTTTTTTTTTTTTTTTAAGATTTTATTTATTTATTTGAAAGAGAGAGAATGAGAGAGAGCACATGAGAGGGGGGAGGGTCAGAGGGAGAAGCAGACTCCCTGCCGAGCAGGGAGCCCGACGCGGGACTCGATCCCGGGACTCCAGGATCATGACCTGAGCCAAAGGCAGTCGCTTAACCAACTGAGCCACCCAGGCGCCCTGGACTGAGCAATCTTACTCCAGACCAATGCTACAGGGAAAATAATTCCCAGTTTGAAAACATTCAAAACAGTGTGCGCGTAGGCAGTTTTCCCAAATGTCACCAACTAATGATAATAATCTGTCATGTTTCTGCGCCCCCTTACAGTAAATGTGCCTACACACCTCGATTAATCCTCTAGCAACCCCACCAAGTGGCCAGCAGGCGGATTGCCGTGCCCACTGCGGACAGGAGGCAATGAAGAGTCCGGAATGCCAAGTGAATTGTACAAGGTCACAGGACAGGTGAGCCTCAGAATTGGAATAAAAACCTATATTGCCTGAATCCTGGCCCCCGCTTTTCTTTACTTGCTCTGCTATTTCTGGGTGCCAGGCGCTGTTCTAGATGTGAGGACCACAGCAGCAAACCACATCGACAAAATCTCTTGCTTTCGTTTATATCCGGGGAAGGGGGGTGGGGCGTGAACACACAGACCAGTGATGGCAATACATGTCCTATGAAATGGGGAGAAAAAGAAAGTGAGGAAAGGGGCATACAGGGGTGGGAGGGGTGGGGGATGCTTCTAAACAGGGGGGTCAGGTGACTTTGGAACAGAAGCCCGAAAGTGGGAGGGGGTGGGTCATGCAGAGCTCTGGAGGAGAAGCTTCCAGGCAGAGAGGTGGCCAGGCATGTCCCAGGAACAGCCCAGAAGGGGAGGCAGGGGAGTGGTGGCTGGTGAGGCCAAATGAGCAGTGGAGACGAGGTAGAGCCATGGGAGGGCTTCGAGCCAGCCAGTGATGTATTTCTGACACGTTACCAGGGTCACTCTGCAAGTTTCCCCTACAACATAAATTTCCAATAAAATCCAAGCGAACAGTGACACAGGAAAAGAATATTATGTTTACTATTATCCTAGGTCTCCCGAAGGAGAGAACAATATCAAGTACCATTTGCTGGGCGTCGGCTATGAGTAGGTGCTTGGCAAGGGGCTTGTTTATCCATTTCATTTCATTCTATCCTTGCAAATGGCTGCATGGCGTAATTGTTATTATGCCATTTTACAGGTGAAAAAAACGTGGCTTAGTTTCACAGGCTAACCGAGCCCAAACTACACCCTCTCTTACCTGTCTTGTGAGCATGTGCCCATCATTAGTGGTTGAGATGATTTTTTTCAGTGGAAGAAAACAAAGTGCTTTTTAAGAAATCCTCTTATAATAAAAATTGGTGACTATTTTTTGATTTTTTAATTCTTTTTAAGATTTATTTATTTATTTCAAGGGTGGGGGCAGAGGAGAGGAGAGGAGACTCTCCAGCAGGCTCCCTGCTGAGTGCGGAGCTTGATCTCAGGACCCTGAGGTCATGACCTGAGCCGAAACCCGAGTTGGATACTTGACAAACTGCTCCACCCAGGGGACCCAAAATTGGTGAATATTTTAAATGTTGTTTAACACAATGGCATTTGTACATGTTATTCAACCTGAAAATCTTATTTTTAAACAATGAATCTAGTAATATTTAATAACTTTTAAAAGGGGGGCCTTTGATTAATCCTTGGTTCTATTAACAAAAACTAAATAACCTTTTACACAGGACTTATAATCATTTGACTTCCTTAATTGCCTCATTAACAAACAAATCTTCCCAAACACTTAAGTAATTATTCCTAGAAAGATAACAAAGAAAATCTGGACCCAGGATGAATTTTATATTCTCTTAAAATGTCAACGTAAAAATCATAATCTAAGTCAACTATTTAACTGCACATTTTAAATTAGAATTGCAAGTTTGGCCTGACACTCCAGCATACAGCATCCTCTTAAACCTAACATAAAGAAAAATACTAACTAGCCACAAATTATTTCTCAACTTTAATATATCAAAAATAGAATGGAGGTTCCTCAAAAAGTTGAAAATAGAGCTACCACATGATCCAGCAATTGCACTACTGGGTATTTACCCCAAAGATACAAATGTAGGGATCCGAAGGGGTACGTGCACCCCGATGTTTATAGCAACAATGTCCACAATAGCCAAACTGTGGAAAGAGCCAAGATGTCCATCGACAGATGAATGGATAAAGAAAATGTGGTGTGTATATACAATGGAATATTATGCAGCCATCAAAAGGAATGAAATCTTGCCATTTGCAATGACGTGGATGGAACTGGAGGGTATTACGCTGAGCGAATAAGTCAATCAGAGAAAGACATGTATCATATGACCTCACTGATACGAGGAATTCTTTTTTTTTTTAAAGGTTTTTTATTTATTTGACAGAGAGAGACACAGCGAGAGAAGGAACACAAGCAGGGGGAGTGGGAGAGGGAGAAGCAGGCCTCCCGCGGAGCAGGGAGCCCGATGCAGGGCTCGATCCCAGGACCCTGGGACCATGACCTGAGCCGAAGGCAGACGCTTAACAACTGAGCCACCCAGGCGCCCCAGATACGAGGAATTCTTAATCTCAGGAAACAAACTGAGGGTTGCTGGAGGGGTGGGGAGTGGGAGGGATGGGGTGGCTGGGTGATAGACACTGGGGAGGGTATGTGCTATGGTGAGCGCTGTGAATTGTGTAAGACTGTTGAATCACAGATCTGTACCTCTGAAACAAATAATACATTATATGTTAAAAAAAAAAAAAGAAGAAGATAGCAGGAAGGGAAGAAAGAAGGGGGGAAATCGGAGTGGGGAGACAAACCATGAGAGACTATGGACTCTGAGAAAGAAACTGAGGGTTCTAGAGGGGATGGGGGTGGGGGGATGGGTTAGCCTCATGACGGGTATTAAAGAGGGCATGTACTGCATTGGAGCACTGGGTGTTATGCACAATGAATCATGGAACACTACATCAAAAACTAATGATGTAATGTATGGTGATTAACATAACATAATAATAAAAATAAATAATAAATAAATAAATAAATAAATAATAGATTTGATTTACCTTTCTCATGTTTATACTTAATTCTGTATCTTTTTAGTATTAAAAGTCATGTGTCCACTAAGGAAAAAATTATATCATTCCAAATACATTTGGGATTGAATTCTTCAGTGAATTTTGGGGGACTCCTTACCAGCCCACTGAGGTTTTATCATGTGCAGGGATATTAGGGAGGAAGTGTGAGCTAGCGGTCAAATCGTCCAGGATGATTTTTCTCGATGCCACGCTGAGCCTGGTCCCATATGTGCTCTGTCAATGCCTTGCAATGAGTTGGGTGCACAGCCCGGCCTCCCGTATTCGGTTCCATGTTACCTACTTCTTCCTGCCAGGTCTCTGTACCACATGACTGGATGTCACAATGCTATTTCTGGCTGACTTCTATTCTAAATTCTTTTCATATTCTACAGATGTGCCGCAACCATAACTTACAGTTATTTACATGATGTTAGATCAGATTCCCTGCCTCTGCAAGGCTCTGTTTGACCCTAATCACAGTTTTGAAGTCAGGCCAGTGGAGAGACATGGGTTTGTGTGGAAGACAAAGGAGGAAGTGAATCAGAAGGACCTGGAGGGAGGCAGAGTGGGAAGTCTTGGAGACTATTTGGTTTTGGGGCGGGTGGGGGAGGGAAGAAGGGCGAGGACACAGCTAAGTGGAGCCTCCAGCTCAGAGACAGATCCATCCTCGAGGGCAAGGATCAGTGCTTCAGGGGCTGCTGACACAGTTCTGCGATGAAGTGTGAAGAGAGGAGCCAGCCGTGGGTGGGTGAGGGCGAGCTCCTCCGAGACCAAGCTCCTTGGCACGTTGGAGAGCAGGAGTGAGGTCATAGCCGGAACCTCAGAAAGAACCAGTGAGAGGAAATGCAGGCGGGAGGCTGAGAAGCAGCCGGGACACTTCTGCACATGACAACAAGGAAGCTAGAGCACTTTTTCAAACACGGTGTAGAGGAGACAAGAGGAAGCTCCGGGACAAAAATGAGGCTCAAAGCTAGACAGTGGAGGGAGGCCAGGCAGGGTCAGAAGTGCACAAATAACTGTGTCTGTGTGTGCAAGCATGTGACTCAGGAGAGTTCTGGGTCAGACACAGCTTGCTGAATGTCGCCATGGCTCGTTCATCTCTCATGCCTTTGGGACACACAAGAGGACATCGTACAAACAGAACATGTGCACATTTGGGTAGCTGCGTCCTTCAGAAAGATCGGCTAATGCCGTGACATCATGGAACTGGAATTCCTTTCCCTCTGGAGGAGGTGGGAATCGCTGCAAAGGAATCTTTAGGAGCTGGTACTTGTTAATTGTCTACTCTATGGAGTTTTCTTGCACCCTCAAGCACGTTAAAAATATTGATGTGGCAATGTAAATGAACCTGATTTTTTTTTTTTTTAAGCAAGAAGGCTCTTGCATTGGTGTTTGCTTTGCTATTTAAAACCAAGTCCCCGAGGGAAACCAATGCAAGTACAAGTTCTGCAATACTCAACATATTTCTGTGGTGGTGCAACAGAGACACCAAGGCTTCCCATTGATGGTTCCCAGCAAGGGGGGCCAGACGCCACTTCACTCCTCTTGCCAGGTGTGCAGAGGGCCCGGGCAACCGAAACCCGCCGCTGTGGTTCTTCAGTAGGTCAGGACTCACAGCTGCTTGCACCTGGCTGTTTCGCTCTCACCGAGGGGCTGACCACGTGGACAGGCCACTGATGTTCATCTTTGGCTCCAGGCACAGGCATATTTCAAAAGCAGAAGCCGTTGGCATGATCCGTCTCCTTCTGTTGGTAGAAGAGAGTTGCCATCCACACAGAAAATTATAGTTTCTGCCCATGTGGGTTCGGAATTCGAACACCAAGTTATTTTGTTCTGGAAACACTTCATCATAACTTGAAATTATGACCTCTTGTGTAGTTATGATTTCTCTCTGCCACGTTACCAGGATGTACAGAAGGGACAGTGAAGGAAAGCCCTGAGTTTGCTGCTTGCGAAACTCAAAAGCCACATTGGGAACAAGGCAGTCAATCTGAGCCAGCATCTTGTCTGGAAATAATTATGCCTTGTGAACAAAGCTGTGGAAGTCTACAGTGTATAAAATATAACATCCATACCTAAATGAAGGGAATAAAATTCCCCTATGTTTTGGACACAGGTGTGCCTAAGACTCCTGAGGTGTAAAAAGCAGGGCTTTTTTACCCACGACGCATTGCTTCAATGAGAAACCTTCGACTCAAAGTCATGTTTGTTACCCTATTAAATACTGACAGATTTATGAGTAGGGAAGTTTCACAAAACAAACAAACACACAAAAAACCACTGAAGAATTATCTTTCATTGTGCAGTTTAAGACCATAATTCTCGTAGTTTTTTTTTTTTTTAAGGTT